ATGAAGGAATAAGTGTCACTGAAATGCCTATGTCTTTAATGATTGAAAAGTACCACAATGACAGATCAGTAGCTTTTGCTCATAGCATTTCTGGAGATTTTGACGACGACCGGCGTATGTCAGCGGGTGTGGCTGTAGTGTTCGCAAAGCACTTTGAGAAACCAACAGCAGCTCATTGCATTACCGATCATCTTACACTGCAAAATAGTCAAGCTGGAGCCTGTGTATACAGTCTTGTCACAAAAGACAGATTTTTTGGTAAACCAACCCTTGATGATTACAAGACTGCGTTTGAACATCTAACTGAAGATTTTAAGAAAAAAAACTAAAACATCTGATATGCTCTCCAATTGGGTGTGTTAGAGACAGGGTGAGTCCAAGCCAGTTTGTATCTAACCTGATTAAATTAAAAAAAGAAACGCATGCAAACATTACAGTTGTTTCGTATTACCAGAAGTCCTTCCGGCAACTGCGAAATGGCATGACCCATAAAGACTTTACAAATTACCTACGAAAACTTACATGTGAAAGTCTACAAGCACCTACACAGACTCCATTGGAAAAACACAAAAATTCAGATGCCTTACCTGAAACCAGCAAAAACAACTTATCTCCAAGTCGTATTCCTTCATCAGTGTTGTCTTCAACAAACTCAGAGATCTTGTCTGTTAGCCAATTTGACCCTGGCTCTACAATCACTGTACATTCAACTCCTGGCTCTACAATCACTGTACATTCAACTCCTGGCTCTACAATCACTGTACATTCAACTCCTAAAGTGAGAGGACATCACCTGGTGAACTATGCAGCGGCCCTCAAAGACTGTCCAACAACAATATCTCCTGTGATAGTTTCTAGTGAAAAAAAGCAGAGCACAGTGAAAGTGTCCAAGGTTAACGAAGAAGATTGTCTTGCTGTACATAGTACTAGTATTGTAGAGGGAGAATTTGTAAATAGTAATCTTAGAAATAGTAATAAAGGTCTTTTTTTAGAGAAATAGATAATATAACTGATGCACAGGTAAAGTTAGTGTCTGAGAATAAATTGAGTAAAGATATGTTTTTATTACATTTTAATATTCAGGGTTTTTTAAATAACCATGTGGAACTTAGTCTGTTCATGGAAAATAAGAATTGCAAAATTAATGTTATCTCTATCAATGAGCATTGGCTAGATGCAAAAAATATAAATGTATTAAATAAACTAGATGGTTTTATAATTGCTGACTGTTACGCCAGAATAGATCAATGCAGGGGAGGTTCATGTTTGATGATTAAAATTAGAAATGACTTAAAATTTTTAAATGAACAATATTGTTTTGAAGGATCATTCATTGAAGTTAAGGACTGGAATTCAATCTTTATATCAGTATACAGGATTCCAGGCAATGACATAGATAACATATTTTTAGAAAAGTTTGAAATGTTATTAGACAAAATTGCATTGGAAGCAATGTCAAAAAATGTTTTTATAATGGCAGATACAAATATAGACTTATTAACTGATAAAGTAAGTACTGATAATTTACTGGAAATTTGTGATTGTTTTGGATTTAAACCTAATGTTTTTGTACCAACTAGGGTAAACAGTATCTCAAGTACGTGTATTGACAATATTATTTCTAACTTACAGACAAAAAATACAAGCAGTTTAGTCACAGACATTGGTGCATCAGACCACAAAGTTTTACTTTTGTCATTTGAGAAAATGTCCTCTTTAAGACTTGAGGGCGTGAATCAAAAGTTTATTCGGAAGTTTACAGAGACAAATTTTCAAACCTTTGAAAACACACTACACAACATGAATTGGAACCTTTTTGAAAACTTTAACGTCGATACCAATTATAATACATTTCTTACACTTTTTCTAAATTTATTCAATGAGGCATTCCCTAAAAAAATTGACTGTCCAAAGAATAAACGGAAGAAAAATAACTGGGTAACAACAGGAATAAAGATTTCTGCAGATAATAAAAGTAAGTTGCACCAAGAATCAAAATGGAATCGAAACCCTCAGTTTTTAACTTATTACAAAAACTACAGAAAGGTTTTCAAAAAAGTAGTTGCACTAGCAAAACTTAAAGCTAATGATGACTTTATTAATAAGTCTAAAAATAAAAGTAAAGCATCTTGGGTAGTAGTGAAAAATGAAACAGGACTTAATAAGCAAATATCTGATACCCCAGTAGAAATTAAATTCCAACATGAATGGAATACACAAAATTCTGCAGTAGCGGTAGCAAATAACTTCAATAATTTTTTTATTAATATTTCTCAGTATGCTAACCAGTCAACAGATAAATCTAAAGCCATTCAGCTACTAACTAAAAATCATCCACCTTCCAAATTCACATTTAAATTTAGAAAGGTTTCAATTAACGAATTAAGAAAAGTTTTTGCATCTCTCAGTAACACTAAGTCCTCAGGTTGGGACGATATTCCTCTTTTTGTCGTTAAAAGAGTCTTTAAATTTATCGAACATCCATTATGCCAAATAGTAAATCAGTCCCTTGACGAGGGTGTTTTTCCTGATAAGCTTAAGTTTGCTGAGATTAAACCGCTATTCAAAAAGGGTGATGTCAACGATCCTTCTAACTACCGTCCTATAGCAATTTTGCCATGTTTTTCAAAGATTTTTGAAAAAATTGTTAAGATTCAGCTAACAGAATTTTTGGAAAGTAATAATCTAATAAATCCGTCACAGTTTGGTTTCCGCCCAGGGCTTAATACTGAAAAATCCATAACAAAAATAATTGACTGCATTGCGAAAGCCTTGGATGGTTCGCAGAAGACTGTGGGTGTGCTGTGTGACTTATCCAAGGCTTTTGGCTGTGTGGATCATGATATACTTTTAGAAAAACTAAGTAAGCATGGAATAAAAAACACTGAATTAAAGTGGTTTGGATCCTATTTAAAAAACCGAAAACAAAGACTTATTGTACAAAAAATGCAGAGAAATTATAAATCAGAGTGGAACATAAACCCCTGTGGAGTTCCTCAAGGCTCCATTCTTGGCCCTTGTTTATTTATTATATATGTTAATGATCTATGTAAAGCTACTAAGATGTCTACCTTTCAATATGCAGATGATACAGCTCTAATTTGTACAGGACAGAACAATGATATCATACAAGCCTCAATAACTCAGGAATTTCAACTTCTCGGGGACTGGTTTGCAGTAAATGGTCTGTCCATGAATGTAGAAAAAACCCAACTAATTCAGTTTTCTGCATCCAATATTAACCAAGAAATCTGTTTAAATACAAACTTTAATTCAATTCACTCACAAAAATCAATAAATTATCTGGGAATTGATATTGATTCACAATTAAATTGGCAAAATCACATTAAAAACCTATCAAAAAGACTACGTTCAGCAACATTTGTTCTTACAATAATCAGGGATACTACTAATTTAAAAACACAAATAGCAGTATATCATGCATATTTTTCATCGATTATGAATTATGGAATTACTGTATGGGGCTCATCAAGTCAGGCCAAAAAAATATTTGTCCTTCAAAAAAGAGCAGTAAGAATAATGGCCAGAGTTCCCAATAGAACACATTGTAAAGATTTATTTATTCAGTTTAAAATTTTGACCTTTTTTAGCTCTTATATATACAAATTGGCATTAATGGTTAAAAGTGATTTCGATACATTCATGGACTGTCAACCATCTCATACACATAACACAAGATTCAAAAATATTATAAAACCAATTCAACATAGGCTTAAAATATTTCATTTATCTCCTCCAGTATATAGGGTCAAAAGTTTTACAATAAACTACCTGCTGAGATAAAAAACATTGCCTCAGTTTCTAAATTAAATCATCTTTAAAAAGTTTCCTTTTGGAGAGGGCATTTTACTCACTAGAAGAATATCTTGGAGATGTGATTACAATTTGAAAGGTATTACTTCTCCCATAGGTTTGTATTGATTGCTTTATTTGTTTTGTATTTTATAATGTAGATTTTTCAATGTATAATTTTATTAGACTTAATGACAAATCACCTGTCAAGAGAATTGATGTAATGTGACGATGTTAAAAAAAAAAAAAAAAAAATACCAAAGTACCCAAAATTTAGCTCAACTTAGAAAAGACTTAACTTAAGACAACTCAAAGCATTATAACAGCACTGTATTTGTATTGCAATTTGAGTTGTAATAATAAAGTGTTAACATTTTAATATACAATACTGTTGCAACAATATCCTCAAATATTAAATTATAAGATCAAGTATGGACAGATTGTATTGAACTAAATACAAACTTAATCATAAATGAGTTTATTAGAAGGGAAAGTTTTGTATGACTAATCAACCAACATCCTACAACAAAAAAGAAAAAGATTAATTATTTAAAATAATCCAAGCACAATTTAAGACAATAGAATTGTCTTACATTTGTGAAAAATACTGAAGAAATACTACACAATAGTTGGGGTTACGGCGTGCCGAGTAGAGCTTTGAAAAGTCCCCTCAAATCCATCATTGGGGATTTTCATGACTTTTTGCCTATTTCCATGATTTTCAATGACCAGAATTTTTTTCCATGACTATCCCTAACTTTCCAGAATGTGAACACCCTGCTATTTACCAAACTATATTATTCAAGTGTTACCATTAGATAAATTTTAAATAGTCATTAATAATTTGTTATTGAAACACTGTTTTTAGGACATAAAAGAATATTTTGACTTGTAAAACGTTTTATTAATTGTTTATTGTTTACTATATTGACCCAGCCTATACAGCATTGTATGTTTTCTGTACATTGGTGTTCTGGAATCCTATAGACAAATGATAGTATCCCACATAGTATGTCAAACAAACAAGATAAAACATTGATCAATTTAGTTGAAGCAATGTTGTAATGCACATTTAAAAAATAACATTTATTGTTTTTCCAATAATTTGTGCATTGAATTTGATAAAAATACACAATTTCAAAATTTATCTAAAGGATTTTGGTGTTAGTAAAAAAAAAAAACATTGGGTTCTGACTAGAAAAAATTCAGTTTTATTTCACAACTGGCAGTCTATTTGTACCGATCACTCGGTAAAAAAAACTTAACAATACATACAAATATATACAACATGTAAATTATTAATAAATAATCTTTGTGGTAGTCAACAGTCTTATAAACTATATAGTTGCATATGTGAAACAACAGACCCTCCACGGTTTAGCATTGGCTACAAAATGATACTATCTGGCACGATACAATTCAATTGAATATTTTGCTATTTTAACTAGTTTGTATATTATTAGAGTCATTATTTTCTTGCTTTGCTTCGGTTTTCTTTTTCATTTCAGACCTTGGAGTATAGACAGACTCTGACCTTTCATCTTTTTTTGCAGCATATCTAGCCCATGTGAACAGCAGATCTGCCAATCTGTAATAATTGGTAAATAACTTAGGGAAAAAACAACTACATTCAAAAGGCAAACAAAATTGGCAATTTGTTGCAGAATACCCATCAGCAATGACATAATTTATCTTATCTTTAAGGTCCGACAACTTTCAAGAATGAATATGCCTTAGTTACAACTACTCTCATAATTTTTACGACTGATATTGATCAATATTAAGAGTTGTTGATTTAGGCAGTTCAGTTATAAAACAACCAAAAATCTTTATGCATGGTCCTTAATTTTTTAGGGAAAATTAATAAACTAGACAATCTTTTAACTTACATCCATTTCACTGCTTTCAGTCAATGCAAGAATAGTATTTTTATCACATTTTTGTCAACCATTAATAATCATAACTAAAAACAATTTATTACATTTAAATTTGTTAATTTCTATTTAATGCTCTACATTAAACTTTAGTTCATTCTAATGGGAATAAGTATTATTTTTTCTTGTCTTCGGTTTTTATTTTTAACAGTTTATTTTAAAACTGATTTAAACTGATAACTTATTACCTTACTAGCTACACCCGCGGTCTTTGCCCCGTTTAACTTCATAAGTGAGCTCGTTCGCATGGCTCAATCACATCCTGGTTGAAGTTCGCTACGCTCACTCACCTTTAGGTTGGAGCTCGTTCGCTGCGCTCACTTGCCTTCAGGTTAGCTCGTTCGCTACGTTAACTCGCCTCCAGGTTAAAGTTCGTTCGCTACGCTCACTCACCTTTTGGTTGCAAGCTGTTGTCATAAATATAAAAAAATAATAGTGGTGCACCCTGTTGGTAAACCTAAAATCACGTCCTGATTGAAGTTTGTTTGCTGCGCTTACTCACCTTTTGGTTGCAAGCTGTTGTCATAAATGTAAAAAAATAATAGTGCTGCACCCTGTTGGTAATCCTATTAACTCTTTAATGCTATTGAACATCACACAATTAACTTGTTTAGTTGAACCAGCTGTTAAGATTCTTTAATTCCATATAAATATGAGTACTCATAAGGTTAACATGGGAAACTCCAGAGCCACTGGGGCGGAGCCCGAAAACCCAATCAGAATAAAAACTACTTAGTTTTCCTATTTAATGCCCAAAGAATCGGTGTACCCAATTTCAGCCTCCTAGGTAAATGGGAAGTGGGAGAATTAGTGATGAGATTAAGTGAGTGAGTCAGTGAGGGCTTTGTCTTTTATAAGTTTAGATTACCGATTCTTCATCTTTTACCCCATGGGGGATTTATGGCGTCTTTTACCCCATGGGGGATTGATGGTGTCATTAAAAACATAAAATCACTTATTTACACATATACAACATACAATTAACATATAATTAAAATTGAGGCTGTGGACAGACATACTTCAGCCTAGGCCTAATAGAGGGTCTTCAAAGTACTCCTTCAGCGAATAGTAGGCTTTGTCTTTGAGATACGCTGTAACCATCTTAAGGAGTTTTCTTTTTTCAAGGTGCAGGATGGAGTTTGGCAATTTGTTGTATATATTTATTGCTCCATTACTGAAGGCCTTCTGAGTCCTTGACAGCCTAACTCTAGGGACATCTGGTCGGGTACGATGCCTAGTAAGATGTTGATGTGTTGCTGCTCTGGTAGGAAACTCCTCGATATTGTCTAATACCTTGTATTTTATGCAGGCGAGGATATAGTGACTAAACACTGTAAGTATGCCTAGCCCAGCAAATATAGGCTTGCAGTGAGCCAAACCATCGCTGTGTGCTGTGTGTACGTGCTCAACGCTCAACGGCACAGTTTAATTTGTTGCGTGGTTGGTACTCACTGGCTGTGTCTCCCGTTTCTCAGATTTTTGGGTTCTGCCGAATGTTCTTCAGAGGCCGTTTTCACATCGCTCAGCATGGAGCACTTTTCTAGCTAGAGTTTTTCATCCACGGGGCGCAAGGGCGGTCCCGGGGGGGGGGGGGGGGGGTCAGGGGGGTCATGACCCCCCCAAAATATTTTTTATATACATAAACTATTATACCAGGGAAACATTAATAATTTTTATTGCAAATCGTTTTACCAAATTGAAATTCGTTGTAGTCTTTACACTTGTAGCGAACAAAAGGACTAATTACAAAGTCTAACCTAAAACTTGGGATCGTTCAAGTCTGATTATGTTTTTGTACGTTATGAAAAGTAGGGAAGATCGGCAGACAACGGACGCTTTCAGCCATATATGGCAACTGCAGTGTCCGATGCTGACGTTCGACGTTCGGCTGCATTCTTCTTATTTAATTTTTCGGCATTTAATGTTATAATTCATTTTAACCCAGATGATTGAAAACTTGAATTGGGTATTGGATAAAGAAAATAAGTTGTATCAATAGTCAAAGTTTGAAAGGTAGTTGAATATTAATTTATCTGAGTTCAGCGTTAGGAATTTGTAATTACAGTAATGTAATTCAATGATTACCGTAGCAAATTTCAAAACTTTCAATATTAAATAGTATTCATATTTAGAGCACCTGATATCATATTTAAGAATAACACAACCCAATTGGCATGTTGCTAGCCACAAAACAACAACAAAATGGTATTGTCTCAGACTTAGATGCGGAAGGGACGGATTTAATTCCTGGCACAATTACAAAAACGTTGCACAAATGCCACTGGCACTAGCATAGAAAAAAATAAGAACACTGAGAACCAATTCTTCAGGCGGTAGCAGTGACGGGACGCCGACGCAACGTTAGTTGGGTAGTGTACTTTGTGTAGGTTAACTGTTGCTTACTGGGCAGGTATAATGCAGTCGTGTTTGGTGCAAGTTCTTAAACACTTCTTAGATAAAATAAGTTCTCTTTTTCGAAATCTTGGTCTGATTTTGGATATTTTCTGTTTAGCATGCACATCGGCACCAGTTGAAAGGGTGTTTTCGCAAATCAATAATGCTTGAATTTGTTGTAATGTTGCGGTATTCCTTTGATATTAAAACCACAAGTCTCAATAATGCAAAAACATGACATTATACAAGTTTATTTTTAGACATTTCTTTGACCTTTAAATAAACTGGGAAGCTTGAACACATTAAACTAGGTCCTCAAAATAGCTTAAAAACCACTCATTTTAGCATGTTATTTCCAAATTTTTTCCGGGAGGGAACCCCCAGACCCCCCTCCTTTGCTGGGGGGTATTCCATACCCCCTGGTGATCGCCCCCAAAATATATGTCTAGGACCGCCCTTGCCACGGGGTCAGTGACTCCATCTGAAGCCTGCCACCATTAGAATGCTAACAAACTGCACCACGACGAGCATTCTCCCAGACTGATGGGACTGCGCCACACCACTGCCTGTGCACCACCTGCTGTTGGCGATACCTACACAACTAGGCCTACATCTACTAAACCAGAAATCAGAAATCCTTTATTGTCCTTCAGCAAAACAATCTTGCAATAGACATAGTCACATATTATGGTAAAATAGGGTTACACAGTAACCCAGTCAGACTAGATTAATAAACTAATATCACAGACAATAACAGGTAAAAATTTAAAAGTTTAAAAGTAAAAAGAAGGCTGTAGGCTGGGTGGAGAATATACTAGATAAACTATTAACCCTTCCCGGACGGGTGACGGATATATCCGCATAAGTCATTAGCGATTAAGGACGGGTGACGGATATATCAGCCTATGGTTTTTTATGTTCCGGACGGGAAGCGGTTATATCTGCCTTCTTTTCAGACAGACTGGCAGGTACTTAAACAGTAACCAGATGTTTTGCGGTACCAAGGCGCCACTTTCCTGCTCTATCCATGGCTGCGCTCTCTCTCGCACTCCCCCTCTCTCAGGCGCTGCCCCTCTCTCCCGCGCTGCCCCTCTCTCCCGCGCCGCCCCTTTCTCCCTCACACCAACCACCTCTCCTACACCCCCCACGACGTTTCGCGCTCAACACCACGTTGTCTGTGTGTTGGCGCCAAACGTTACAGTTGTCTGTCTAGCAGAATGAGATAGTGATGCACGATGGCTTATAACGTAAATAGTACTAGTTTTTCTGGTGATATTATTGAGTTATTGAACAAGAGTTTTTCGGAGGGTGATGTTGCTGTTGATGGAATGGAAGTGGACGAAGATGACAACATATCTGTGCGTAGTTGTGATGTAAATAATGCAAATATCGATGGAACTGATATTGATATAGTAAATGGTTTTGTATCCGAAAATGACAAAGACGCTGATGTTCCTCAAGATGAATGTAATGTGGTTCAAGTGGAAAGTATTAGTGATGAACAAGTTAGTGAGGACGATATTGGGAATGCCTCAAGTTTTATTGACTCGGAAAAAGAAAGCCTTCATAGTTCAACCAATGAATCTACAATGGCGTCCAAAAAGTCATTTGCAAAGAACTCTAAAAAGCCATCTAAAAAGAGGTCTACAGAGGCACAACAACCAAATCTAACTAAAGCTAAACTCCTTCGTATGAAGTGGGATAAGGAGTATGCTTTTGTGACCGACAGTGACAGTGGACCTGTAAGTACTATTCCTATTTATAACTGCAATTACGGTCGTAATCTGCCTACAGAATTTGATCTCACTTCAAAACCAATTGATTTCTTTTCACTTTACTTTCATAGTAATCTAATACAATTGATTTGTGATGAAACCAACCTATATGCTCAAAGTTTGCCTATTCAAAACCAAAGGAAACAAAAGGTTTGGGCTGATACAACAACCACAGAGATCCGAGCTCTTCTCGGGGTTGTACTGAATATGGGACTTCACCCGTTGCCTGATATAAAGGACTACTTTTCATTGTCCTGGGTAAACAAGATGCCCTTTTTTTCCGATATTTTTACTCGAGATAGGTTTTTGATGCTGTTTTGGAGATTACACTTTAGTCATGAACAGGGAAGCGCACGTGACCTCAAAATAAGAAATATTGTAAACACAATTCAAGAGCAATGTAAACTATTCTATACGCCAAGCTCGTATGTGTCAGTGGATGAGAGCACTATTTCATTCAAGGGCAAGATTTCATTCAGAGTTTA